TGGCATTGAGTGCTTCTAGCCATAATGCTTGTCTCGCCAGTTTTCTACAAACCAAAGCCTTTCCTGCGCACTACTTTATCCTTTATTAAATAAGGTTTTAGTTCGACATTACGTATTTAAGTTTAGCCAGAAGTGTTGGCTTGTGTAAACCCAAGCTGGGTCATTGTTACTTCAGGGGCGTAGTTAGAGGGAGACAAAAGGGGCCATCTGTTCCTGGGTGCAGTATCGGAGGGGCGCCAAACTGATGCTACGAAATTATAGAATTAAATGTTTTCCATTCTTGGCAAATAGGAGGGAGCGTGAAATTTTCAGTTTAACCGGGCGCTGAAAACCCTAGCTACGTCTCTGTGTTACTTGTTTGCGTTCAAATAAAAGGGTCTTATACACCCTCTAGAGTCATTAGGTTAATTGGAAGCAGAAAAGATGAAAAATAGCAAACGCCTTCGCCGGGAATCGAACCATGGACCTCTGGAATACCAGCCCAGCGTGCTCCGTTACACTACGAAAGACGCTAGGAAAGTGGGAGAAATACCTTATATACTCCCCTTTTTAAAGAGCGACTAGGGTTTTAGGGAGCCTAGTCGCCAAATCCTGGGTGCGCAGAATCATCATCCACAACCCTTTTAGTTCGGACGCCACTTGTAGAGTCATAAGTTTAATTGGAAGCAGGAAAGATGAAAAATAAGCAATCGCCTTCGCCGGGAATCGAATCGCGGACCTCTGGAATACCGGCCCAGCGTGCTACCGTTACACCACGAAGGCACCTAGGAAAGTGGGAGAAATACCTTATAACTCTTCTTCTGACATTTGTTTTGTTTCACAAGATTAGAAGATAATTCCTTAATAGTCTTTTTGAAGACTGTAGTTTATGCTTCCTAAGAATACAAGACTTTACAAATTCTTGCAAAAAAAGTTCTAATTCTACAGTTTTCTAGAAAAAAGAGGTAAAATGAAAACTTGATATCGATCAGAAGTCTTATTCATAATTCTAATTAAAAAGCGTGTCATAAAAATCGGTATATATCCATGATTTTGCAGTTCTCAGCAAAAGGGAAATATGAAATTTAGATACCTATTAGTAATTCTTCAGACCCTAACAAGCACCGTGTACATAGAATTGATATTTTACTGTTCTCATAAAAAGGATATAAAACTGGACTACTGGTGTATGTGCGAGCATACACCCTAGGGTTCCGCGAGTCAAAATAAAAATTTTAAAAGAAAATTATAAAACACTCACAGTAGTTCACTAGTGTTCATTAAGAAGAAGGGAGAAAATACCTTATATACTCCCCTTTTTAAAAGACGACTGCGGATTAGGGAATCCAGTTGCCAATCCGGGTGGTGACGAATTATTTATTGTCCACCAGCCTTTAGTTCGGGCGCTACTGTCATTACGTTTCTTTGAAGCAGACTACGTGTAAAATGTTCAATGCCCTCCCCGGGATTCGAACCCTGTCGAGTGTGCTTCCAGTGACATCACGAAGGCATGCGGGAAAAAGGGAGAACATACCTCATAACATAACCAAATTCTATTTGTAATGGCTTAGTTTACGGAATAGTTTCTCAAATACTGAATTATTGAAATTTTTGCCTTCAAAATGGGGTACCCCGTGTCCGCAGATATGTGAATTTCGTTTCTATCTTTTTTGAAGCTATGAATTGAAAGTGTCTTGAAGTTGGTGTTTATCCATTCTAGTTTTACGGAAGTTTAAAGATAAGATGAGGTGTTATAATGTAAGCAATCTAACGTAATTATATTAAAATGAGACAAAATAACGCTTAAACGTTATAGAAAGAACACATCTTTATTTTATGCCCTCTGTAAAAAATATTCATTAGGTTCTTCATCACGTCCATCCGACGCTCAGTATTAAAAAAATCCATAAATGTTTCTAAATTACCTATGTACTTATTAATTAGAAAAACAGATTAATTAAAATATTTACGCTCATAGCATAAATTATTTGTGCAGAAAATAGCTGAAAACTGTTCTGTTTTTAGCGAAACTCCAAATGTTGCATAAATCACAAATAAATTAACTGCTGCCAAATATCACTGCCTAAATTCTTTTATGTTACAAATTATGAAAACATAATATTTAATAATGTAACTGAATGTGAGAGCTATTCAAAACAAGTTACGTTTTAATGGCAGTTTCATCATTTATATATTTTTCAATGACGATAATATTATTCATTCATTACCCATATAACTGCGGTAAGGCAAAGCGTGGCATACATATATAAAGAACGAAACGGTAGTTAAAATTCAGAAACGATCAAATAAACAATTCAAAGAATCTAGAAAATTCATATCTAGAAAAGAATGAAAATGCGGGTCTAAAAAGGTATTTAAATCAACTGATCACGAAATAGAACGGAAGGAGAGTGCAAATCTAAGACATTTATTCAGCTGAATTAGTAGCTCGGCTCAAGAATTACAAATGTTGGCACTATAGATCTTTTGAACCAATATATACCAAATCCTTGTTATTTGTAACAGCATGACCCTAATCTAATTTTTGCCACAAAGAATACTTGGCTAGGGTTAGGAAGAAGTCAAAATTAAACGAAATCGAGTGCAATAAAGCATCGATGCTGCATTTTCAAATCAAAATATAAACAAATGAATATATCATGTATGATGTTGGGAGGCCCCAACTTGTCAGCAACAGTAGTAGTGACTGCTATGAACTGGAAATTACACAAACTCTTAAGAAGGGTTTAAATCCCTTTTTATTTCATTTTATAAATCACAATTGCGTTCACTTGACGCTCACAAACTACGCCGACTCGGCAGTTGAACAAAATAGACAAAAATGCAACTAAAATGACAGGATATATAAATAACGAAGTCACTACCTACGAGGCTCTATAATCGTAACTAACTTTACCGCGTTCTAAGATACAGCTGAGATTCAGCAAACTTTCTGATTAAGAATTTGAAAGATTCAACGAACTGCCGAAATAGGCACACCGGCCGAAACGCGCGGTTCTTAAATTTCTACCTAGCAGCCTTGACGCTCGTGATTCAAGAAGCACACTTACAATCTCGTTTACCTTCTATTTAACTCAAATTACTTCTGCTAAAATTTGAATACTCTGCGCATTCTACTAATTTACATACTCTGGCATTGGCAATTCTAGGGGCTTGACAGGAAAGATAGCTTAAACTTAAAATAAATGTTAGTTAAAATAAATATAAACCCTACACATGAAACTTATGAAACTATGCGTACAGTTAGTAAATTGTAAAATATGAAAAATCATAGAAAGAAAAATATGTAGTTTCAGAAGTAATGCTACAATAATTTAAAAAAAAATCATTTAACTATTAGATTCGTAAAATTGAGATTAAAACTTGAATTTGTTTCTATGAAACGTTCAAAGCCGAATTATAAATTTAGAGGCATATTTTAGCATTTCAAGAAACACGTTGACCCAACTATCTATATTTAAAAATCCCGATGTTAAAATGATGTTTTATTATTATTCCAAGTTTTGTGATCTGAATCCTTTATTTATGAGATGTCTTATTATCACAGAATAAAATATATGAGTTTATTACACCAGTGCAAAACACACTAAAGCTATCTGCCAAAGAGCAGAGTTGCCTTCGTGGAGGACTTTCTAAATAAAATCAACTCTTATTCACATTACACATAGGGAAATCTACGAAAACGCTTATTCCCCCCAAACCGTTTATCATGATTTGAACCCAGATCATGCTGCCAAAATTCAATAATCTTTTTCACTTAGTCGCTTGAGAAGGGGAAAAATACAAAGAAAATAACTGTTTGTTTCAGGAAGATGGTTATTAAAATTAAAATTAATTATTAATTATTTAGAAGATGTTAGCGGAATCTTTGTTTGATTAGTTAAAAAGAGAAGGAAATATTCATATTTCAGGGAAGAAATAACAGGTACTTCATTTTGGTCCTAGATAGGTTTTTAAGGGTCATTTAATTGTTCAAATAATTTGTATAGTAATTAGATTTGCTGAAGCAGGAAACATGAAAAATGCGCAATTCCCCGCCGGGGTTCAAACTCTGGTCCTCCGGACCGCTAGCCAGACTATTTCCAATTATACTAAGATGAGACGCTAAAGGATGAGAGAAAATAACTTACAGGTTTTATTTGATATGCCCTTTAGATAATAAACTGCCAAAACTTCATGATTTCACATACAATTTTTAGAGCACTTCTGTGACAAGCGAAACCATTTACAGCACAGCGAATATTAGCAGTCTATAGCAAAGAACTCAATATTTTTTCTACAATACTCTTCGCAGTTTTATACAGAAAAATACATCATTTCTGGTAAATTAAAAAATTTCACGATTTCTATAAATTATACGTATTTCAGTATTTGAATGCAGATAACTGAAAATTCTGTGGAAACAAATGTGCAGAATAAGAATTCATAATTACAGTAAACTCTTAATATTACATGCAACTATTCAGAAACATTAAATCTTAATGGATTATTAAGTGTCATATTGTAATAAAGTTAGAGAAGATATATATATTTATTTATAAATACGAACATAATGCAATAAAAATTATCTATATATTTTCTCTTATTTATACATTGTTCGGAAATTTAATTTGCATCGTTTTACTTAATATTCAGAAAGTGAAAAGAAGTAAATAAATTACTTTAAAGGGTTATACAATAAATTTTATGAAGAAATACAAAAACGATAGAATGTAAATATATCGGCATAAATGAAGTAGTAAATAAATGGAGGCAATTAAATAAATTAGTCAAATACAACGGCAGAAAAGTTAAACAAAATTTATAATTTGGATATGTGATAAATTTTATAAAACACACGTCTAAGAATAAATTAATGAAATACTAAGGATATTTCTTTCAATAAAATGAGTGTATATCGTTTGCAATAAAAAATACAAACATAAAAGTAAAATTGCTAAGAAGCAAAAGATTTTATCTAAAGTTTTTTCACATTTCTTTATAATTTTACCAGATTTTACCTGCAAACCATGCGTGAAAGATGCCAATGTTCCCTGCAGACACGTCTTCAAAAGATGAACAACGGAAAGCCTCTAAACGTACTAGCATATTTCACGATTGGATACAGGCAGTTACAAAAGTTTTCGCTTATGGCGCCATCTATGTTTAATCCACGAAAGTAGATTATTTAGCTTTAACACAAATTTTACTGTTACTTCACTTAAGATGTTATTATAATTTATTTATATTTAAATAGAATTTTTTTATATTTACAAGCTGAAATGGTGTAGGGACCTGCTTAAAGAAATAAAAAAAAAGTAAACAATTTGCTTACGCCTAAAGTATTGCTGTTTTGCATACGTCTCTTGTATGCAGTGAAACGTGTTTTACAGTTATTCTAATTTCGGAGGTCAATATTTAGTTTTCAGTTGTCAGCGAACGAAAAAAATGCGTGTACCTTCCTGTATTTAAAAAATGTATTATGAAAAAGCATTAAGAAAGTGGTATTTATAATTTTCCTAGCTGTGTTATAATATTCTATTTTATATGTATTTAAAGGTGGATTTTTAAATTCCACACGTTTTTAGTGAATGATAAAGATACGCATAAATTTCTAGATTAAAAAATAAATAAATAAATGTCTTATGAAAATGCACTAAGGGATTATGAAAGGTATTTGCCCTTTTACTTAACTGTATTATTAAATTCTATTTGAAGTTAGTTTTTACATTCCACATATTTCGGTGAATAATAAAAATACGCCGAGATTTCTGGGTTTAAAAATATCCTCTGAAAGATTATAAATGGTATTTATGAATTTTCTGATTGTGTTATTAGATAGTAATTTAATATAATATTTACAGTTTTATCAAATGAGTATTATTAATTATCAAAAATTTAAAATTTTGCTATCGTTATTATACATTGCCATTCAAATGTTTCTGACCTTCAGCCTAAAGAGGTCACATGTTCAGTTTACAATTGACGTACAATTAATTTCTTTACCCCAGTCGGTTTATATGGGTTGGTTTTTAACCAGGCTCTGTATATTGTAAGATTCCCCACTGTGTAATTCTAAGTTGCTGTTGGAAGTGAAGAATCTTAAGAACTGATAAGCGAATAATCGCTTGAGTTTGAATGACAGGAAACAACAAGTTAGAAGGGTAAAATAACCCTTTATTATTCCAACTAAAGTTTAACAAAACTCCGTCTTGGATTTGTACAATAAAGCCGACACTTGGGCTTAAACTTAAGAAACTAAGAATTAAACTAAACTAATTTTAAGTAAAGAGATATAGACGAAGCTATCAAAATTCTAACAGAGTTAGCCCCTTAACGCTAATTGACTGCGAAGCTATCAAGGGCCTAAAGTACGGGCGAGAGTGATAATAGCTTACGAGAGTGTAGCCTAAAAAGGCGGACGCGTGCAGCCAGAATATCTGATATCTTTCTCTAAGATTGTAGAACTTCGTGGTTATATACCGCTCTTCCTCATTAGCATTCAGACATGCTTCTAAAACTACGTTCTGGCCGGAAGGGGTAAGTTGAAGTAAAAATCGATAGGAAAGGAAGTTTAACTCAAAATTTAACTGTTAGTAAAATTAGCATAATCCTTAGAATAGAAAAACATTAAGTGACGTAATAAAACAATTACTATCACAAACTAACATAAAAATAAATGCATAGACGTAAAAATAAATGCATAAATGCTTTCGTAAAAAAAAAAAAAAAAAAAAAAAAAAAAAAAAAAAAAAAAAAATGTGATGCGCCCAGCACATGACATCACCCTATTTCCATGCTTTAAAGAATAACCAGCTTTAACTCTCGAAGTGTTACAGGTTTGGCTTTGAAATACCTCATAATGTCATGAATAAACTGTCCCGCTCATTCCTTCCCCATGAGAACCTGCTCATTCCCAATTCTAATGACGTCCTAATTCTAATGCTGCTATCCCATTTCTAAATCTGCTCAATCCGTCGCCATGAGACAATATGAATCTACGAACACCAACACCAATGATGAAAAAAAGCTAACTCAGCTTGGGAAGGGGACCACTCGAGCCTCTTCGCAAACCCAAACCCTTTAAGATCATAAACCTGTGTCAATGATAATTGAACTCAACCATTTTTTCAAGGGTATTCATAGCCTACTCAGTAACACAAACATTACGAAATTTATTTAAGTATGCAAGACATGTAGAGCGAAGATTTTTGGAACAGGTACTGGTATGGAAAGAATACTAGTCCTCTTCAGTATATCTGAGCAGCCTTTTAATCTAAATAGCTTAACTTGCTTTAGCCTGTTATATCAATATTAACTCCCCCTACCGACCTCACCCAAATTTTTCGGCTATTCCCTTCTAAAGTTCTGACACTGAATACTCCCTTATCCCCCTTATCAAAGTCCGTGTTTCTTACTTAATGCTCTGAAACCCTGCTCGCTGAATAAAGTGATTCGTTTCTTCTCTACCACACTTTTTCATTGACATGCACCAAAACTCTTCAAGGACTTTTGGAATTTTTTGGACTTGATCTTTGATTGCGAAATGTGTATAATGATATGTCATATATTTTGTTACTCAGGGCTTTGGTCCAAGAAACTGTTTTCCGTGACTAACGGCCACCTAAATGTAGTGGACGGCATTTAAAGTAAATCAACTCAAAATCGTGTTTCGAGACTAATCTCCCTTTTAGGTTAATTATTAGCTAGTATTAGCTCACTAAGTGGATATTAAAAAAGATGTAATATTTTGGTTTTGTAGGATGGCATCGAATTAAGAATATATGCAACATTATGTTGTGTTAATTGCTGCAAATCTGTTATGGCCTTCAAGAGAAGTACTACTTTCGGTATTTCTTTAGCCTTTTTAGCATGCCTTTGTGGCGTAGTGGTCAGCACGCTCGGCGCGTGTTTGAGAGGTCCGTGGTTCGACTCCTGGCAAGGGCATTGCTCATTTTTAACGACTTCTGCTTCAAAAAACCTAATGTCTCTACAGTGACGCCCAAACTAAAAAAGGGTGGTGGATGATGATTCTCCACCACCAGGATTTGGCGATTGGACCCCTTAACTCCAGTTACCCTTTAAAAAAACAGTATATAAGGCATTTTTCCCGCCTTCTTAGCATGCCTTCGTGGTGTAGTGGTAAGCACGCTTGGTGAGTATTCCAGAGGTCCGTGGTTCGAGTCCCGGCAAGGCAATTACTCATTTTTCATCTCTTCTGCTTCGAATTAACCCAATGTATCTACAGTATAACAAAAAATATCACGGACTTCAAATACCGCTTGCAGTTGTCCAATTTTATTCAAAATCTATGTAACCCTTTTCATGAATATTTTTAAAGTCTTAAATACGGGAAACAGAAATTTTTGGTGAGTTGTTTTGGACGAAAAATTGTCCCACACATACACACTGACAGACATCATTGTAAAAATAGTAAATATTTGTTGTGAGGACCCTAATTTGTGCTTATTCACTGAAAACTCACTATTGAAGTTTTGGATCGAAACATTATCACCCTTATTAGGTTGACTACGTGTGTAGGTAAAAAGAAAAATATGATATAACAAGCGATAGCAGATGGCAAGTTATTTAAAAAGTTATTTTTATCTTAAAAGTTATTTTTATCCACAACAGTATGTTATTTAATAATGCCCAGATTTTGAATTTCGATTTATTTTTTATTTATTTCAGATTTTTGTGAATGTAATGACAGATTGATTAGTAAGTTCGACGCTTTATAAACGATGTGTTACCACTTAGCAAAGATTTAACATATTTAAGTTTTAAATTTTATTCCTAATATTATTCTATTTCCCTTTTATTATCATTTAATATTCATTCTGATAATATTATATGTTTTGCATATGGTTAAATTATGGTTATCTTATCAGGACTTGTGTTCCTCTTTACTTGCCTTGGAAACATGAACTGTCCTGACTCGGAACAGGGAGCTTACTCAAGCTATGTTCAATAAATTGTGAAGTAGACAATACACACAGGAAGGGTATACGAAACCCTTTATTTTTCTATCTTTACAGAGATTTCCGGAACTTCGAAATACAGAGACCAACCACTTGTGGTCTGAACGTATGAATATAAAACTACGAACTAAAAACTCTAACTAAAACTAACTTTGGATTAATATACAAATGCCTAATTTTAAGATTGGCCGTTATTTAACAAAATCCGTATGTAGTACAGAGAGCTGCTAAAACTACGATACGTTTGAATTTATCAAGAGGACTAAACCTCTGGCCTTGAAGGACACCAGCAACCGAGTAAAAACTACTATGGCAAGCGGCCTGCTTCTAATAACTCCTTCCTCTCTCTTGCTTGGCAAAAAGCCACAACTTAAGTACTTGGCGTTAGCAAGACAAATTTGCATAAATAAGTTAAAGCTTTTAATTCTGACCGGAAGTAGAAAATAAGAAGTGATAGTAAAGATTTAAAACAAAATAAACGTTAGTAAAACTTAGGATCCTTACAATCTATCTGATTATTTTGACTATAGTAAATTGTTAGCAGCTTCTGTTAACATTTTGTCATGAGTTATAAAGTTTCTTATTCTATCCTGGCAATTTCAGTTATTTTTGTGCAATGATTATTTCACATGATCAATGAAATAATCTTCCTGAAAAAGCAAATACTATACATTCTTTTTCTTTTGGATTCACAGCAAAAACCAGTACAAAAAGTGTACTGCTTCCAACCTGCTTGTATCAAACTACACTTACGAAAAAGAGTGTTATTGGAATGGACATAAACTGGCAGCTATTTCAAATGCAGCTTTGTGTAATATAATGCTACGTATTTAAATTGCAGGAAAATTAGTTTGTAATCCAATATTTAGACTTAAAACTACATTATATGTAATTTATTGAAACATTTGAAAACTTGTAAATCATTTGCGTTAGTTATAAAATCTTCCTTGCTAAATATAGTACAGATACTGAACTACTTGGCAACAACTGAAAATGACATAATTTTTCTACAGCCATATGGACGTATTCTCGTCTGACCTTCGGGATCTAAGTAATGGTGTGTGTGTGTGTGTGTGTGATTATGGCAAAGCCTCGAGGGCTATCTGCCTAAGGGA